GATAATTGTTTATTCTAATGGTCTTTCCCTTAGCACACAGGGATAGAGCTGACCTCAATGACTCTGCTTTCTTTCCTGTAATACCCTTCTCTAATTTGACTGCTCAAATGAGTTTGTAGATTTTTTTTTCCTTGGGAAGATTATTTTAGAACCCAAAATTTGTAATTCTCTTTTAAGAATCTGGTGCCACTAAGATAACTTAAATCCCCCCGTTTTTTTTTTTTAATGGCTTAAGTATTTAAAGTTTTGTTTTATTAAAAAACTTAGGCACGGTGGTGCAGCAGCATGCCTGTACTCTTAGCTACTCAGAGCTCTCAGTCAAGAGGATGTCTGATGCTCAAGATCTCTGGACCAGTTTGGGAAATATAGTAAGACCCTGTCTTTCTTTAAAGAAAAAATCATGTTGTAACACATTTGAGTAACATTTATTTTAGGACCTGAGACCCATTGACAGAACCAAGCCTCTGGCCTAGTAAGCTGCCCCTAGAGCTGGTGCAGTGAGTCTTTATTCCTGTACCCTGCTGGAGAGTTTCAAAGACTAATCAAATGACAGACTGAAGCAGACTAGCATCTGCTTTGAAGGCTCCAAGGAGTACCCAGCTTAAAGGCAGTTCTTTGGTTTGAGGATTATCTCATTTCCCTATGGATTTGAACCTAAGACGCTTTCTCTCTAAGCCACATGATATCCCCTTCTGGGCCCAAACCATTCCAACCCCACCCCTGACCTCCACCTGCTTCATAACCTCAGGCATGGATCACAGTCAGTGTGAAATCCCCAGCCACCTAGGGTGGTGCTAGAGCCAACAGGGAATAAGGAAGGAATAGCTATTAGGAAGTGTTCCTCAGGAGCATGGGGTTTGCCCAGTGCTACTCCCTCTTAGTCTGGGTTGAGACTTTCACCAGCATCTTTTTGTACAGATTGACAAGTGGAAGCTAAGAGTTCAAGGACATACCTCCTCTGAAATTCACTTTCTGTGCTACATTGTCTGAAGTCCTCCTTATAGTTGAGTCTGGCCAGACTGGGAAGTGGGCACCTTCATATCTCTGCTATCCAGCCCTACAAGAGTTGGGTGAGGTGGAAAGCAGGGAAAGGAGTGTCCTTAAGCCTAGAAACACACTGGTACTATGTAATAAGACCAGGACACAGAGCCCAGAGTCCTCCAAGCAAGGTTCTCCCTTCTTGGCATATGAATTCCCTAGCAGTAACTGACAGAGGATGAAGGGGCTAGCTCTGATGGGGTTGCTGTGATCTAAGATCCCAAGCAGAGGAACAGGCAGCAGAAATGCCATGTTCTACAGGCATGGTAGTTGTTTAGGAGGGTTGACACTCTAAAATAGACAAACAGAAGATGTGCACAGAAACTTGGGATCAGAGGCCATGGGCCCAGAGAGCCTTTCTTCTCCCGCCTCCAAGTCTAATTCTTTGTCAAGTCCTGTGGTTAAGAGTGTTTTTCACATGTATGCCTCAAGCTTTCTTCTAAATTGTTTATATGTCTGGATTCTCTCCCTGCCCCCTTCCACCATGGCAGTAACAGGCAGTAACTAGTTAAGTGGTTAATAGGGCCTCCCATTTGCCTTTTTTTCCATCCTCCATAGGCTTTTTGGGAGATCTTTTTTAAAATTTTTATGTGTAGCTGTTTTACCCTGTGTGTGGTGTGTGTGTGTGTGTGTGTGTGTGTGTGTGTGTGTGTGTGTGTGTGTGTGTGTTTGTATATGCTCACATATATCTTTTAATTTATTTATTTTTATTTCATGTGCATTGGTATTTTTTGTCTGCATACATGTCTGTGTGAGGGTGTCGGATCCTCTGGAACTGGAGTTACAGACAGTTGTGAGCTGTCATGCGGATGCTGGGAATTGAACCCAGATCCTCTGGAAGAACATCCAGCACTCCTAACTGCTGAGCCATCTCTCCAGTCTGAAGGAGATCTTGTTGAAACACAGATCTGACCCTGTCTTTTTTTCTGTGGACCCTTAACCAGCACTAAGTAGCTGGTCACCTCATTTGACTCACAGCCTGATTTTGTATCAGGTGACTTTTTCTCCCTCACCCATTACCCTGTCGCTAGACCACTCTCCTGTGGCTCCTCCACGTGTGGGTGGGTCTATGCTTTCAACAAACTGCTGGATGTTGGGGTTTGTAATTTACTCAAAGTTACTTAGCCAAGTAGAAAAACAGACTTCAGTCTGAGTTTGTATTAGGTAGGGACAAATTGCCATGGAAACACAAAGGAATGTTTGGTAGTGGAGTTCAGGAACCCTTCCAGAAGGTGGTGACATGGAGTTGGGTCTTGTCAAAAAGATGGACATGTTTAGAGCAGAGAAGAGTAGTCTGGAAAGAGGTAAAGACCTGGGTTGGGAGTGCCATGGCAAGTCTGAGGGTTACCATGGAGCTCAAGCTACTGGGCATTTAACAGCAAGAGGGAGATCCCTGTCTCCAAGGGCCTTTCTCTGAGCACAAACTTGGCCAGAACTAAGAGTGAGCCAGGGCCCCCTTTGCCCCACAGGTGCTCCCCCATCCAAGAAGTTCCTGGTTAGGGGCCCTTGGCACTTGCTATCACTCTGGCGGGTGGCATCCCAGAAGGAAAGAGGCAAGGGAGGAAGCAGATAAGAAAGACAGCTTCTGTTTAGACACAAATATCTTGGTGATCAGCACAGATGGGATGAGAAATACCAAAAAAAAGTACATGACAGTTTAGAGAGAATTTGGCTAAATGTTACATATTTTTAACATACCTGTGTAGAGTTTTTGGATCAAGCACCTGAGTCACTCAGATCTTGATTGGGAATGAGTGCCTGCCTCAGTCAAACGGTTCTTATTTCGGAAACATACCCCTCTCCATCTACAAAAGTACCCTTGTGATTTTTTTTTTTTCTCCCACCAAAATAAGGCACAGGATTTGTCTCTGACGCTGTGTCTCCCTATTTGGACTGCAAGCTGTGTAACATATTTCTCCTCAGCGTGAAGCTTCTTGGCAGACTCTTGAGGCCACGTTTTGGTGGCTTCAGAGTTATCTTTGGATCTGTCAAAAGTGCTAATGGGCTCTCTGGCCTTCTTTAAGCTCCTCATTTCTATTTTCTTGTTACTTCCATCCTCTTCTAAAAGAAAAATTCATATAATTCATCAGCAGTTAAGCTCTCTGAAATGCTCAGCTGAGGGCCTCGTATTTGTTTGTGAGAACTGCTCTGCCGTGTCACAGTCTCAGGAACAAACCCCACCCTGACATCATTAGCTCAGTGCTCTGCAGTCCACTGGGCAGAGAAATGCTTCTTGCCCAGTTCCATCCGCCTTTGGTGCTCATTTTTATTTTTTCATGAGTTTGTTAGGATGCAAGCTGGTATAGCAGTTACCAGACAAGCTTCACATTCAAAAGACCTGCTCTTGGCTCTGCCCTTCCTAAGTGGGTGATCTTTAGAAGCAGCTGCAGCTTTCTAAGCTGTAGTTTCTCCGTGTAGATATGACAGTGTCTACCTAAGGTTATTAGGAGGAATAGAAAGAACACAGATATAGCATACTTGGCCTGGCATATAGGATTCCTCTATTAAAAAAAAAGGGGAGGGCAATAATTTCTAGCAGAGGGAGGTCACATGTATTTCCTCTTGTTTCCCCTATACTCAATATTTGTTGAATATGATATTTTAACTTACACTTTAAAGTATTATATTTTAAACTGTAGACTGAATCTTCTGTTGTCCACTTACCATGTGACCTTTGTCATATTACATCACTTTTCTGTGCCTCCTTTTACGTCTTTAAATAGAGAAAGTGACATCTAGTTCAATGAACAGATTTAAGATTAAGCAAAGTGACCTGTGCCTCATCATAGTAGAAAATGAGTGATTAGTATCTAGGAGGTAATATAGGAGAGTAGTCGGTGTATAGAGGTATCAATCCACTTGCTCTTTTATTTGTGAACTGTAATGGTTAGCCTAATACTCTGGTCAAACAGTAATAAATCATAGGTAACTGCCCATTCTTATTTATTTTCAGCCATAATATTGTTTAAAAGGACTTTATGCTGTTTTTTCATGTAAATTCCACTGGTTTACTTAAATTATGAGTTATAGATCTTTCAATATGATTAATTGCCACTTATGGCAACATAACTCCTTTCCTGCTTTCATTTGCTGAGAGTTACATTGAACAGCATTGAAAACCTGTAACATTAAATAAGCATATTCATATATTATTAATGTTAGGTGGATGAAGAAAGCATTGTAGAAATGAAATGCTCTCCATTTCCCGCTGAAATCTGAAATGTCCTAATCCATAATGCTATTTAAAAGATTGAAACCCAAGTTACAGGGGGAAAACAAAAGCTGGTTAAAACACAGAAATTGTCACAACTTGCTGCTGTTTAATCTACATTCCCCCCCCTCCTTTTGAGTGAAATGCTTAGGAGTTGTAAGTCTTTGAAATTGCTTAATTCTAGCAGAGCCATTTTGGAGAGTGTACGCTATGGATACCAACAGAAAAGACATGGCAGGTAATGCCATACTTCTGTGCTAGGATCTACTGGGCAGAAGCAGGGCCTGTGTCACAAGCTTGGACACTTTGTTTTGCTAGGATGTATGGCACAGTATCTTGGAAAAGTTCTAGGGGGAAGGGATCTGAAGATCTTGTCTTCATTACTTATTAGACCATTTGATCTTGAAGAATCGCCCTCATACTGAGTCTCCTCATTTTTGAGATTGCAGAGGTCCTGTGCTTCTCATCCTTTGGAGCAACATGAAAAGCAAACACAGTGCTATCTATGTATGACCTCGAGTTGTAATCCATAATCACCACGCAAGGGTGCTCATCTCCAAGGTCTCTTTGAACTTTGCATTTCATGACTTCACATATGAGTGGAGCTTGGGCTTCCAGGTAGAAAGAGTGGGGCAAGGGAAGAAGAGCCTATGCCTTCTGATTATTTGCTCTTCTCCTGCTTTTATGAGATACTGTTCGTAATAAGAACAAACAAAATAAGCCACAAGCTTTGCTTTCTTCTTTCTCCTAGAGAAATCTGACAGAATATTTTGTGGCTGTGGATGTGAACAACATGTTGCATCTGTACGCCAGCATGCTGTATGAGCGCCGGATCCTCATCATCTGCAGCAAGCTCAGCACTGTGAGTAGACCATCCAAGATGGCTTTGCAGTCATCTAATTTTAATTGAAAGATGTATCGGCAAGATTAAAGAAAATTTTAAGAAAACGAATCATCCACATTCCCCTCATATGGTAATACATCACCATCATTAATTATTCATGTCCCTTTACAGTGTCAAAGCCCATTTCATTTATTCTTGCAGTCTCATGATCAATTATAAATAGTTGCCTCTTGATTGTGCATTATGCACATTGTGCCTATCTCCACATAAGCTTATTTTTGTCAATTCTTTAAAATGTTGGCACCGTATTCCATTGTAGTGATATAGTCATGGTTTGCTAAAGTTTTCTTTTCGTGATGGTCATTTGGGTTGTTCATAAATAAATCCTCTAGTAGATGATACTGCAGCAAACATCTTTGAGCTCTTTTTGATTGAATCAGCCCACATGTATATGGGGGCTTTGTAAATAATAAATATGCGAAGCAGTGGGACCTCTGGTCAAAGGCTTTGATAAAGACCATTAATTGGGGGCTGCCGGATTGTTTGCCCAGAAGGCCGAGCCTGAGTACAGTGAATGTTGTCATCTGTACATAAGTGAACTCTTTTCACTACTGCCTTTGCTAGAATTGTCTGTGTCTTTGTCTGTATTGTCTATGTACTTGTGCTACATTTTAGTGTTGTAATAAAATTGGGTATAAATGATATGGTAAGTTTTAATTTTGTTATCTTTGGTTAGAGGCAACTGTTTCCCATGAGTCTATTCCTTGTGTATATTTGTGAATAGCTTTTCCCATTTACCTTAGAGGGTTTTTGATGATTTGTTCTGTTTTGTGGGATTTTTAAAATTGTGTGATGTATGTGTTTACATGTTTGGAAGTGAATGTGTATCTTCCGGTGCCCATGCATATATGGGCACATGCATATAGAGGCCCAAGGTTGATGCTGTGTGGCTTCTTCTACCTCATATGTTGAGGCAAAGTCTCTTCTTGAACCTGGTACTCGATGTTTCAGCCATCTTGTTCCTGCCTACTGACATGACCAGAAAGCCACTACCCCACTCAGCGTTATTATGTGATATCAGATGATCTGAACTTCAATCCTCACACTTACATGCAGGTGCTTTACCCACCGAGTCACCTCTCAAACCCTGTTTTTTTCTGTTTGCAATAAGGTTGTTGCTTTATAATAGAAACTGGCCTTGAACTCACTATGTAGCCCAGAGTGGCCTCAAATTCATTGGCTAGCAATTCTCCCACTTCAGACTGAGATTCAAGTGTGGGCCACTATGCCTAGCTTGAAGTTTTTCTCATAAGTTAGAGTATATTGTATTAATAATAACTTTTGCTGTATGTTTAACATAAGTCTTCTTATTTATATTTTAATGTTTTCATTTGACAAGTATGGTTAATTAATCTTATTTTTAAATTTCTCAAATAAGCATTCCTGAAAGTTGAAGTTGCCTTCTAGTAAATACTGATGATTTCATCTAGTAACTAGTAGCAATTTAATGAAACTTCTTTATCACGTTTCTCCACATAATCAGTATGTAAGCTTGTGTCTGTATGTGTGTTCAAATCACCTGTGTTTAGAGTCCAGAGAGTATCTTTGAGTCTCTTTCTCAAGTTCTTGTCTACCTTTTTTTTTTTCTTTTTTTTTCTTTTTTTTGAGACAGAATCTTTTTAAACCCAGAATCACAGCTGATTCTAAAATGAGTATGGACAATCCAAAAGAAAGAACAAAAGCATGCTTGAAGAAAACAAATGGATTATAATAGCTTGCTTTAGTAAAACTTTCTGTAAAGCTGTATCCACTGGCCTGCTGTGGTAGTGGCTGTATTATGAGAATGTAGGTATGCTAATGGCACAGAATAGAGGCCCCCCAAACAACCCACATGTATAAAATGGCTATATAAGGAGGCACTGAACTTTTCTCCTAAGTTATAGTATATTGTATTAATAATAACTTTTGCTATATGTTTAACATAAATTAAGCTGACATTTCAGTATTAACCTTCCACCTGGGGAAGGGAAAAGAAGACAGTGCCTATTTCATACAAGACTAAATTCCAAATGAATTAATGTTTTAAGTGTGAAGGAACCCAGCATGCAGAGGAAGCCCTCCATAAATGAAATGCGCCCCATCCCATCTTCAGTCCTCAACTGAATTAGGGTCCAGCAGTCTCTTCTACAGAGTACCAAGTACTGATACCACATTGGAGGCCATGTGGCCATCATTGCAGCTGGACTCTGACTTTCTCGTTACCATAAATTAACTAATGGTTCAGTTTGACTTCCAACAATGCTTTGGATATAAAAAGGACAGCAGGCTTGTTACTGACCCAGGCTACTGACCCCTGGGTAAAATGTCAGGTTTTGGTGTCTTAAGTTGTTTTCTTTAAAATTTGTGTGTATTGTGTCCTTATTTTTATTTGTTTGTTTATTTGTTTTGGGTTTTTCGAAACAATGTTTCTCTGTGGCTTTGGAGACTGTCCTGGAGTAGCTCATGTAGACCAGGCTGGTCTCGAACTCACAGAGATCCACCTGCCTCTGCCTCCCAAGTGCCAGGGTTAGAGGTGTGTGCCACTACTACTTGGCTGGTGTCCTTATTTTTATATGTAGATGTATTTCAGAAAGTTTTTGTCAAAAAAATATGCCAAAGAGACAGAATAGTTCCTGTACAAAGGTTAAGAATCAGTGGTGCATAAGATTTTACAACTCTGGAAATGAGAAAATAGTGAAGCAGTGTCTCAGACTCCTAACCCAGATTTCTATACCCATCTAATAGAAGGACAGAACAGAGTCCAGCTGCCTCGCCACACCCATCAACACGAGGTCTGTCTGCAGTGCCCTCCCTTGTGGACGAACTGTTCATCACTCTGCATGTTCAGATGACCTTGTCCCACAGTGTATTTCAATAGTTATGATCAAACAAAAATCCTGATTTCCTGAAGCTTGTGTTTGAATAAGGGAGACCCTAAGTCAGACCACGCACTACATATATGGCCCAGTAGCTACTGAGAAGTCCACAGGAGTAAGAAGAGCAGAAGAGAGAGTAGAGAGGAGTGGGGAAGGGATCATGATTTTATTTTAACTTGAGAAATGCCTTGTTGAGAAAGTGCTTCTTAGTGCCATGTTGTGCTGTCACCATGCCACCCCAAGGAAGTGCTCCACAGAGAAACAAGAGCCCAAGCTCTGCCCAGTCTTTTGTTTCTCCTCCTCTGCTAGCACTTTCTGCAGTGAATACCAACACGATAGAGTGACTCCCAAACAGTAAAGACAAAGCATGGGCCAGGGAGAGGGTTCAACGGATAAAGCACTTGCTGCCAAGTCTGATGACCTGAGTTGAGTTCAATCTCTGAGACCCATGTGGTGGTGGTGGTGGTGGAAGGTAACAAATTACCTGAGTCCAGCAGAGAACCAATTCCAGTATGTTGTTCACTGACACACACACACACACACACACACACACACACACACACAAATGTAACTTTTTAAAGACAAACAACTTTCTTTGAGGCACATGCACTTCATCCCATTTATAGTCTTCTCTTTACTCCTTGTCTCAAAATTCTTCATCTGTTTCTGTTGACAGAAGTTTTTGTTCCACCCAGTCCTGCAGCCATTTAGTACCAAATAAACAAGCAGAGGCTTATATTAATTATAAACTGTTTGGCCTATGGCTCAGGCTTCTTATTGGCTAGCTCTCTCTTAATTATTAACCCATTTCTATTAATCTTTATATCTCCACCTGGTCTTGGCTTATTGGTGATGCCACAGCTACATGGCGTCTCTCTTGCAACTCACTCTGTGTTCCTCTCCCCAGAATTCTAATCTGATAGCTCCACCTATACTTCCTGCCTGGCTACATCCTGCCTGTCCATTGGCTGAAACAGCTTTTTCCATCAACCCAATAAGAGAAACATACATTCACAGCATACAGAAGGACACTCCCCATCATATTTCCTGTCTAGTCCCTCTGCTTTCATTCTTTCCTTACCATTTTACTGAGACAGCTTTTGTTTGAGCCACCAGTGACCTCATGTTAGTAAAATTAAAATAGTTTTTGTTTTTTTGTTTTGGTTTTTTGTTTGTTTGTTTTGGTTTTTTGAGACAGGGTTTGTAGCTTTGTAGCTTTGGAGCCTATCCTGGCACTTGCTCTGGAGACCAGGCTGGCCTCAAACTCACAGAGATCCACCTGCCTCTGCCTCCCAAGTGCTGGGATTAAAGGCGTGTACCACCAACCAACGCCCAGCAAAATTAAAATAGTTAATACTTTCAAAACTCTTAGAACATGGTCTGGAATGTAGTATGTGTATATGTTCATAATAAATCACTCAATGCTTTAATGAGAGGTCAGATTTCAATGTTTCAAATAAAAACCAAGAAGTGATTATTGAGAAACAAGATTAATTTTGTGTTGTGTTATTTCAGGTTAGGACAATCACGAAGCAGACTGTTGCTAAAGCTCCAAAAATGCATTGACTTTAAGGGCCATGATTGTGGAGTTTTGTTTTTTGCAGATGGTTGATTGCACCTGAGGTCTGTGTTCTGTGATTCATGATAAGACTCTCCTCTTTCTAGGAGATGGGGTTCTGCTCCCAGCCAAAAGGCACTTGTTATATGGAGTGACTCTGGGGTCGAAGGAACTGAGCATAGAGTAGTTGGGTTCAAGCCTTTGTCTCCCCAGATTCAGGAGTTGAAGGTCTTCCCATTGTTACCTCTGACCTTCTCTAGCATAGCTTTTACTTAACTCAAAGATCAGACAGATGTGAAGGCTATTTCCGCCTGAGATGTTCTGAGGACCCTCTTGGAAGAACCTGATGTGTCTGTAATACCCCAACAAACTACGTATTCTCCACTTTGCCTGAAAAGATATTGCTTAATGTTCCTCAGAGCTATTGAGAATCTGAAAGATAAAGGCTACCTAGCATTCCAGAGTAAATCTGTAAAAAAGACTGTGTGTTGGAGACAAAACTAACACTACTTCTTAGTTCAGATAGTATGTATCCTAGGGTGTCC